TTTAATTTTTTTTTTTAATTTAGAAAACAAAGAAAAAAATCGAAAGATAGAATAGAAATATGGTGAAGGAAATAAGAGAGAAAGAAAGAGAGAGGAGAAGGAAAAAAATTGACGAAAAGTTTGAAAAAGGATTAAATTTTAATAAACAAAAAGCTTAGAAGAGGTTTAAATTTTTTTTAAATTTAGTATTATGTATTAACTTTGAATATTTTTTAAATGAAATTTTTAAATGAAATAAATGCATCCATTTATTTTTAATTTATTTCAGTATTGTCTTGCTAAATTACAGGTATTTCTTTCCTTCCATACCAATGTAGCCCCGTTATCTCCCTAATCCTAATCCAATAATCAGAATTACCAAAATATTCGAATATTCAGTATAATTCTAAGAGTAACATCGCTTGATTAGCCAGCGTATCCGTGAATCATCATACAGCAGAAAGCTGTTGATGCTAACCGTCTTCGTCAACCTATCGACTTCTCTTGGTTCGTTTGACTCTTTGAGGAAAGTGAGGAAAAGGTTATGGCTATCACCACCATTCCGTGATGAAACAACCACTATTCCGTGATGGAACACTAGGTTTTTCTTCAAGAGTCGTTGATTTGTTTTACCTTCTATCCAACTTGTTAACTTAAAAATATTCGACATAACAGGTATTTCCCACTCTTGCTTTTATAAATAAATTCGTGGTTCTTAAGTTCACAGGTCTACCTTAATCTCAATGACATGATGCGGAAAGCTTATATTAAGATTTGCCGTTTACGAATCTTATCACTTAAAGTCAAACGAGAAACTTTTCCAGCCATTCCATTCATTCCATATCAATGTATAGTTATTTCAGGATGTTTGTGTGCGAACCTTCAAACAGCCAGCTGATATAAAAGCCCTCAAACAAACTGAAGAATACAAAAATCTAAGTGATACAACAAAAGCCGCTCTTCTGGAGAAAATTTTCAAATTACTTTGATTTGAAACAAATTCCTATCAAATTGCATGTTCCCCATTATTTTCTCAACTCACAATTTTTGCTGTTAACGGAATTAATGGGCAAGGTAGCATTTAGGTATCAGGTGTCTTTCCGTTTGATACAGTTTGGTAGTTAGGTCAGACGTTAGATAAATGACTGTCATATCAAATACTACTCCAGATTTGCCTTTTTCCGCATTAAGTTGATCAAAAGGTAAATAAATTAGCCAAGCATATTCTGGAAGTTCTATTTCCTTTATCTTTGTCTAATACGACTGTGCTACTTCTCCTCCCTACGACAGTTGCCAGTTATATAAATATGTGTATATCCTTCCGTCTTTTTTTCTGAAATTCGTTCAATTCGATATAACCAGTCAAAACGTTTGCCATAGATTTGGCCCTTGAACTGCCGCTAAAGCAAGCTGCTCTACTTGTGAAACATCGTTATAATTCAGCGTTGGTCGGTTGTCCAAGTGCCATTTTTTGTTTTTAATGCAAACAAATCTGTGCGATAAAGCTACTCTTACACTTGTTTAAATCTGCTGCATTTTAATTAGTAAAAAAATAATGCAATGTCTTGAAGGAAAGATTCGCGCTCCATCTACGTGAAAGTCCAACTTATGACACTCCCATTTAAAGGAACTCGAGGCTACTCTATGACTGAGTGATATTACCAGTGGAAAAATTTTTAAGTAACTCATGAATCTCCCACTAAAACTGTAAGACGATGCGAGAAACAGGTCCAAGTAGTAAGCATGAAAGAGACGAGCTACACAAATTTCGAAGGAAGTTTTAAATGTGGGCATCTCCTACCACTAATTTGTCAATATCACCATTAAGTCATGGTGTGTATTGTTAAGCAATGTGATACAAAGCAAGAATAATTAGTAGCCTGGAGATGTTGCAAACAACCGACCCATAATTCATATTTCCTATGCTTCCGTCGAAACAAATATCGGTCCGCATTACAATGGTCTGCGGAGCAAATATCGTATCCTGGGAATTCCAGGTTCTCAGAAATACAGAATATGGAGTATAATCAGTCCCTTTACTGCATATTACATTGGATTTGACTAAGAACAGGAACAAATTTTAATAACAAGAAACAATAACGTTTGTCGCCTGATAATACTCCTTACAAAATTACTTCTTTCCTGTAGCAACTTTAGTCTTCTTTGTTCCACGTACTTTCTTCTGCCTGTTCTTACGCTCCTTGCGTTGCTTACGGCCTGATTTCTCGGCTTTCGTGCCCGTTTGCTGTAAATCCAACAATTTCCCTCTTCATTTTTAAATCAAAATGTGTCACAACAACTTCCTTCCTTTCAAACTAGAAAAACGGAAACTGCTTTTGCTCCAAGATTAAAACCAAAATTGCTATAAATTCCAACCTAAACACATCGCTGTATTTGAGAGAAAATATGTGTCCTATGTATTGAGGATAGCATTACAAAGCATAACTCTTGCGATATTATACGCATGTGTGTCATATATCATATTTACTGATTCGGATGAATGGCTTCTGCTCGTGTTATCCCTATCAAACATGTGATAGCTCCAAACCAATTCATTGCCAGTATCACTTTGGTTTCAAAATATTGAGGTCTGTGGAAAAATAGAGCAAGAAACTTACTCGCAATAAGCGATATTTTGGTTCGAATTTTTTGGCAAAATCTGCTGTATCATAGATCAGTGCAAAACCAGTACTCCTTCCACCACCAAAATGACATTGGAAACCATAAGTAAAAACTAAATCAGGTGTGGTCTTGTACATCTGAGCTAACTTTTCACGAACCTCCACTTTAGGAACTGATGCTCGGTTAGGATGAAGGATTTCGACCACCTGAAAATTAATAAAAAATTGCAGAAAAAATATACATTACATCAAGCGAGGAAGAACAGATTTACATTTAAAAAATAACACGATATACTGGATGCCAATACTGAAAGATATCAAAAGATTAGAAGCTTAACTAAGGTCAGACATGTTCCAAATCCAAATCGACAGGGAGAAAGAGGAACTACATGAACATGCATATATTGAAACCATCAATCTTGACAGTTCAAATTGTCAAACTTTGAGAATGCCATCGAATGTATAAAAGAAATAGAATGGCTGAGATCGGATCACCGGAAACGATTACTTTCTATGGGAAGTAACGACAGTTTCTCCTCTCTATTCTACGAAAAATATAGTAAAACGGTCAAATTAATGTAAGTTTTACAGTATACAAAACAAAGTCTCACCATCTGTCGTCTTGCCAACAGGCGGTTAGTCATCACCTTGTTCGTCCGGATTGTTACTACTGAATCACCCTAAAAAAGTTCGGGTAAAGCTTGATCATGCCTTTATCTTCCTTGCTTCATTTTTACTATGCAATATCACATATCATGAAAGGACTAAAAGTGATCGTTTGCCAAAACTGTTGTGTGTCTCAAATATGATTAACATTTTGGAACATTGTTACTACCATACCTTACCAACTTTTAAAAAGATAATTATAAAACATTAAAAAACTGCAAACAGTTGTGAACGAGACTGATACAGGATAGCAAAAGTTTATGTGTATTCTTCCGTAAGCTATATTTCCAAATCCTACAGAGACTTCTACAGAATGTTTGTACAAATTTCCTTACGAACAAAAGCTTAACAACCCGACATTTCTCATATGTTTACAGCTAAAGGAAGGAGGATCCGAAAAAAGTGAAGTTATTACATCAGCCTAAAGCTTCAAATCCTTTTGATCGAAAATACGCTAAGGATCACACATCAATAAAAGTATTAATGTCTCCATACTCAATTGTCTTATAAATCAATAGTAAATTTTGCTCTGATGGGGAGATTTAGAATCAGTAGGCATTTATCGGTAGCGTTCAATCGTAGCACAAGATAAAACTAAAAACTGTGCGCTGAAAAACTCGGCAAACACTCACGGGAAGTGTGAAACGTCTAAACCATGAAACCTTTCCTATCTCATTCTTATATAAGCGAACATAAGTATTTCGAAACTCAATAACCAATCGGAGATTCAAAGTTATAATTCAGTCCTGTTCTAGAAATGTCATGTTTCAGCCCAAAACTGTGAATATTTGTAATGCTATTATAAGATAATCATTTGCAAAATATAACAATAATGCTACCTATCCTATCTTCTTGTCTTCCTATAAACTCATAATATATGACCAAATCATTTTCAGTATGTTTTTGGCAATAAATAAAAGAGAAAAACTCTGTGAGTGAAACTTGAACGCAGATTACGATATCTGAAGAGTTAACACACTTACCATATTTGCGCAGTATTTCTTCGATTCGAAACGTAAACTAGGAACACGTCCTAAACTTTTCGAGCTTCAAATTTCCTGCAATAACATAAAATCGGAATTTTCGATGCATTAATAACTCAATTTACATTACAATAATACTTCTTTAAACTAAAAAGATACTAAAACCTTCCTTTCTTCTTTACCCAAAATAAAATTTGAAAATCAATTTCAGAAACCTGATTTCCAATGACCAATGAACAGGAACTAAGCATACAAATCACCTCCCGTTCCCCCGCAAAACCCTAGAAGCCACAGCTCCTGCATAACTCCCACACTCCATTCCTAATGAAATGTTGGTTTAAATCAAATATCACTGCGCAACGCTGTAATCTGCGTAGCATACATGTCCCGATACGAAAACTGCATGTCTTAGACACGGTCAATAACTCAATCACTACGGCACTACACACCAACCAATACTAGCTGGAGGGAAAAGGGCCAGGAGTTGTTTTCGTTAACTTATGCGATAGAGTGATGTTTGGTGGTAGCGAAAAAAAAAAAAAATATTTTACCAAAAATGACCTGAACAATCAATAATGACGTTATTAAGCATAAAACGTTTCCTAACGTATGATAAAGTTACGTTTCCCATTCATTGATCAACGTACGTATTCAGTATTACTTTTATTAAGTGTATATGTAATAACATGCTAGATAAAAACACATAAAGTTAAACTTAATTATTTAGTTCAATACGTACAAAAAAAAAGGGAAAATATAAAAACAATGAAAATATATTACAAAATACTTTGAACACTGCACAAAATAAAAAATTAAAATAAAAAGAAAATTTGAAGAGGATATTCGTTGCCTTCATTCTCATTCTACCGGATCATCTAAATGAATAACTATTTTGAGAAAGTTAGAAAAAAAAATCCAGGAATTGCAGAAATATAGAAATAGTAAAAAGCATAGAAACTTACGGCATGAATGAAAAATTAAGGCCAAATTTATCGGATCATTTAGATGGATAATTATCTTGAGAAAACTAAAGAAAGAAATTCAGGACTGAAAAGATTATAGAAACAATGAAAAGAATGAAAATTTACACCGTGAAGGGACAATTAAGGCTAATGACAAATGAATAACTCCTCAAATATTTTTAGCATTTAGCAAAAGTATTTTAGACAAATACTTTTAACAAACAAAATAAAGTGTATGATACCAATACTTAGCATCATTTATGAAACATTTGAATATTTTGATTGATTAATTTAAAATGACAATATTTTGTCAAAAAAATATCTTTTTCTTTTGTCGTTTCTCACTTATTACAATATATTCATCCTTGCATAATAGACAAATGAGCATTACTTTTAATTTAATTTCGTCAGACATTAATGAATACTCTTTCAAGGCGGATAAATTACTCTCACTTAAATTGGTAATGGAAAAAAAATTCTTCCAAAAGGAAAATTTTAAAAATAAAAGGTAGTAGTGGTTCATTCTAAAATGTATAATACTTAAAATATTCAAGACAATGCGAATTTAGCAAACAAACGACAGAATTAGAAATTGAAACAATTCCTGAAAAAAGATCCTAAAATACAAAACGGTAGCGACACGTACAGCTTAATGCAATTAAAAGAAAAGTAAAAGATAAAACAATTTGAGACAAGAATGCCGAGAAAGGCAAAAATGATAATTACAAGCATCCTTAATTAATTGGATAGATGGACCGTAAATCAAATGATTTTACACATCCTCTTTTATAACATAATTCATTATTCAACAAACATTTTAGCGACAAAAAATTGCATTAAGCAGCAATTCAAATTATATACATGACACTACAGAACGATCAATAAAGCTACTTACCTTCAGATACAAAGGAATGGATGATGAGGAAACTACGCCTATCTATTGATATTACCACGTATATATGATCTCTCCAACATATTTGTTATTTATAATGGTGGTGGTGAATTGAATGATATCAATGTGAAGAACCACGGAAAGAAACGATGCGGTATAAAGGCAATCAAACAAGCAAAACAACACATTATCGCTGTGACCATGTATGGATAGGTATTTGTTGACTGCTTGGCATTTATTATTTTATCGTTAAAAGCACTCTTGACGACAGTAGCATCATATGCCACATTTCGTAATAATATTTTCTGTGATCTTGGTTTGATACATTTTGATCGATGTGTTTTTACCTTTTGGTCAATCTTTGCATGATTTGGTGTTATCAATTTTGAGCTATTTTCCATGGGTGATTCTGAATGAAATGTTTCAAATCCCGAATCAACAATAGCGGTTGAATCGTCGATATATTTTGATGTTTTAGTGAAATGCTCCTTTTTGTTGATAATTTGCTGAAAATATCAAAATCTTATTTCATTTTTTTCTCCATAAAACGGAGAGTGGAAAAAGGTAGCATTATTTTAACAAATCGTAAGATCTATGAGTGGGAAGATGATATGTGATGCTTTTGCAAATTATTTTGTCATTCTCGCTACTATCATCGAAAAGAAAACTTGTTATTCCCAAAAAAATCTAATGCAAATATCCTCCATCTAATGTATCCATTTCAAATTAAAAAATTGATCCATTTTTTTAGCTGATAAGACAAGCAGCACATGATCATTCGACACTTCTGACTTATTTAAAGTCGACAAGAATAAATTGTGAAACCTTTCTTCTGTACTATCCTTTAATCTTACTCATTTTTCCACTTATAATTAACATACCTCACGAAGTACACAACAAAGTGCAGTGTATATCTCACGATTCTTCGGCTTGCAATTTTTCATAGCTAATTCCGAAGAATACGTCAAATTATGGAGCATACTTGCAAATTCCTGTATTTCGCATTGATCGCTTGTAATCCGCTTCCGTATTTGATCCCATATTTCCAGAAATCCCATTTCTTCATCAAATCGTACCTTATTATTCATCCAGTCTGAAATATCCTTTATTAAAAAAAAAATTTGAATTGAAGAACGATTATCGCGTTGTGTAATCTTCGTCGTATAAAACTATCTTATGCCTATTTTTTTTATAGCTAATTATTCGAGATTTACCATCAAACAATATTTATGCATGCTTGCATGTAACATATGGAAAGAGTCAAAATAAACGCACATTCATAAATAATACTATCCAAAAAAGAATATTATCTACATTAAGAAAAAGAATCAAAATATGCAAATACAATCCCATTTGGTTAAAAATAACAAAATTCTTAATACAACAAGGAATAGCATCGAAGTAATAATTTGCAATAATTCCTCAATACCAAGAATATCTTGATTAGCTAATAACTGATAATGTATTTTCTTTATCGAGAGATTTCAATATTCTGAAAAAGAGAAAACATTTGAATTATAATCGAACTGAAACTCTGAACAAAATCGATAATTTTTGAATTATGATAAAATAACCAGTCTTAATAAATGAATAAATTTAAAAAAAGAGAAAAAAAACTTCTGGATAACAAAAACAATACTGTAGTCTTTCATAAAAAATTGCTCAGCATTATTCAGTTTACACCATAGCCATCATTGTATAATATACGGTATAAAATTTCCAGGATAATCTTAATATTCCTGCCCTGTTATTTAGAAATAATGAACATATAAAATCTTCTAATATCTTTCAAATCCCTATGAATCTAGACAAAAACTAACGAACAATTATGAAAATGTAATTTAGTCCGAAAATGTTGATACCAATCAATCCTTCAGCAAAAAATCGTTTTCTTGAATTACATCGTCACATATATCATAACAGTATTATTTCCACAATAACATCCTTAATGCCCTGTAATGAAGCGTAATAATTTTATTTCAATGAACAATACTATTCATTTTTAATCAAATTTCATCAATATTCACCTAATAACAATCCAAATTGGTATTCAACAATATTGAACAGATAGTACTAACAAATATATATATATATATATATATATATATATATATATATATATATATATATATATATATATATATATATATATATATATATATATATATATATATATATATATATATATATATATTATATATATATATATATATATATATA